GATTTGAGCTCAATCAGAGTTATTTCTCGGGACCCATGGCTAATATGTTGGCGGGAGGCCATACAGGCTTTACTGGTACCACGCTTGTTGTTGATCGGGCGTCGGATACTTTTATGGTCATGTTGGCCCATCGTGTGTATCCGAGTCGGAACTGGGCAAGTAACAATATTGTTCGTGAGGCGATAGGTTATTGGGTTGCCCGCTCCCTTCATCGGGATGTTTCCTTTCCATGATTTTTTGGAGATACCTTGTTCAAGCAATATCTAGATGGATTGGAGCGCATTGGAAAGCGACATGTGTCTAGTTCAAGCATGTATTATGGAGTAATGACTATTTAATAAACATTATAAATCAAATGGTATATCTCTCTGTGCGCAAAACAAAAACCAAACTCCCAAACAACCAAGGCAAACCAAGTAAATTGCGAAGCTTACTCGCTGATCATTCCTTTGGGCTGAGGCTCAATATGCTGCTTGTGCCCCGGTCGAGCAAAGATAGCCCCAAAGAGATTGAAAATGTTGTTACAGCGAAGCATCATGCAATAGAACAAGGTAATCCCCGTAACCAGAATCTCCTCCTGTGCAGCTCGGTCATCTGCCTTAGGGCCCATGAACTCGATCTTGCCAAGTTTGGTGACACCCCAGGCGTTGGCAGAGAATTTTGCCACAGGCATTTGTTGGTCATCGACACAGACAAAGTCCCAGGTCTTGAATCCGCAATCGCTGGTCCATGTCATTGTGACTGGGGATTCGGTGTCAGAGAAGTTGAGTGAGCGGTGGGAGTAGACCGTCTTCCAACGTTTCTGAGCTAGAAGGTGGGCCTTCTGTCCACGTAGTTCGTAGTCTGCGTTGATAGAGACTGCGTTCAGCTTGCCAATTCCGATGACTTCTTCGTCGGGAGCTTTTTTGAAAACCATGTTGGCTGAGAGACTGAATGGGGAATAATGGATGGTGTATAAGGCATCTGACGGATTATTGACGTCGGAGACAATGCCCTTCCATTTCTTCCATGTAAAATCGACTGTAAAAGCAGTGCTCTTGGAGGCAGTTTGGGTGTATTGTGGAATATCAGATAAAGCCATATTGTTTGAGTCGGTTGTCAAGGGTGGATTCTTGGAAGTAGAAGAGGGTTGGATGGGTTGAGAAATAACGGTTGAAGTCATTGTGTTTGTTTAGAAGCAATTTATAGTAGAGTCTTCTATTGATCTTGTCTGTGGAATGAATATATCCATTAGAAGGGAAATTCCGATTACTTATATAGCTCATCTCACCAGCCCTGGACGTGCCCGGGGGCGCAGAGTCTTGGCATCTCCACTCATTTAGGGTTCATCGTACTAACCTATTTGGGTGTCACGTACCGCTCCAACTAATCAGGTTCGAGATTGGGCTCTTTCCGGTGATGTCATTCCCAACCTGGATTTGGGGGCTGAACAGGGCTGAGTGTTTTAAACCTACAAGAGTACAAAGTACTTAGATAGATCAACAAATAATAATCCCTGTGAATATAACACCACCATTATGTGCGCAGTGCTGTGTTGGCCGTTTCTGTTTTAAACAGTTCTTCTCATTCGTGGAAAATGCATGCTATATCACCTAGATCAACACACTTGAAACCCTTGGAACAATTAGTAGATCGCAATACTGATAATTCTGCCATGCATTATCCAGAGGTCTTCAATACCAGAGAAGTTTTTGGTTATTGTTACTTTAGCATTGTTGTGTTGAGAATACAACACCAAATTGTCACTGCTTATCATTACTTGATTGTTCTCTAGACCGATGACGTTGTTGGGCGTCAAACTTATAAAATTAGACTCGTTGGCCACGCTGCACAACATCGCTATTTCCCACCAAGCCTCATCAGCTCACTCTACTACCCGCCCCAAGGATGGTTACCCAGGATACCAACGCACACAAGCACCGCTTGATGGTAACGGCAGGTGCAGACTACAACCGTAAGGCTCATCAAGTGGTACCTGTAAATGGCGAGACAATACGAATCGAGAACGAGCATGCTATTGTGAGCCTCTGCGTACGGATCAAAGACTACACAGGTAATATCCCTACTCTCATCTATTCGGTCAAACAGCGGAGCTCATCAATCAAATAGGCTATCCAGAAAATTCACCATCTACAAGCCCATATTTTGACCATCCCTTGCACGAAAAAGACTTATATTCCGTATGCTTCTCAATAATCTTCAAGGAGCGGGTGAATGGTAATAACCTCGTCTTTGGCAATGACTTCGATCACCCAATTCGTGACATACTGCCCCCAGGATTCAATGCAGCGCTACGGATGGTCAAGTGGACGCTTGATCCCGGCCTAGACGGCGATGTCTACGCTGATCACCCGTATCTCTACAGCCCGGCATTGGCATCGTGGGACCAGTTCCGGATTGGAGATAAGATGAAGAAATCTGACGAGGTGCCAACGCTCCATGATGAGATTATTGAAGAAGGTTCTTATAGCGAAGATTCGGCCAATGTGCGTCGGCAATTTAATATCCCCGAAACCGTCGAGGGGCGCAGAAAGCATTTCCAGGATGAGGCGAATAGAAAGGAGTTTGACTTCGAACCTGGGAGGATGTATGTTGCTGATTTCGGAAATCCTTATTTGGCATTCAATGGTGAGTGAAATGCAGATTTGCTCTTTTGATTGGGATTGTCGACTCACTGGTCATAATAGATTTCTCTGTCCGTCTTCCTGGATTCAATTTAAATATCATGAAGTACGTTGATGAGAAGAACCACGAGCTACGGTATACGCTCAAGGATGTTTCAAACGGACGAGTGTATCTTGCCGTGCTGTTCTCGGTGGTCTTAGGCGAAACAGAAGAAAAGAAAGATCATAGCAAAAGTGAGCAACGTGACGAAAGTCTAGGGAAGTTTGACTGGGAGCCGGAGCCATCGTCTTCTGATGTTGAGTGATACATTCGATTGAGCAGAGTGTGCTGTTGAAATGGATGTGGGTTTCATACGATTAAATGGTTGTCAAGGCATGCAAGGGAAAACAATAGATTCATCTTTTAAATATCATCGCAAACTTTGGCTTATATACAAGTTTACTTTTACAGTCTCTTCAGGACATCGTCCAACACCTGCTGAGTGGTAGCCTTTCCGCCCATATCGGGGGTAAGGAATTGAGCAGCATCCAGGTTACCGTCAACAGCGGCGTAGATCTGGGCAGCGGCCTTCTCCTCGCCCAGGAACTCGAGCATGAGAGCAACACTACGGATAGTAGCAATGGGGTTGGAGATACCCTTGCCCTCGATGTCAGGGGCACTGCCGTGGCAGGGCTCACCGATAGCGAAGCCATCACCGACGTTGGCACTGGGGACGAGACCCAAGCTGCCAACGAGGGCAGCAGCACCGTCAGAGAGGATGTCACCGTAGAGGTTAGGGGCGACAATGACATCGTAGAACTCGGGCTGGCGGAAGAGCTTGTAGACCATGGAGTCGACGATCTGCTCCTCGACGAAGACGGAGGAGAACTTCTCGGCGGCAAGAGCGCGGCGAGCGGTCTCACGGAAGAGACCGTCAGTCTGGGAGAGCACGTTCGACTTGTGGGTGATGGTAACCATGGCCTGGTCACGGGTAGAGGTGGCGGGGGAAGCGGAGCGGATGTTCTGGCGACGGAGCGCAATCTCACCGGCGATGTTGGAGATACGGAACGAGGCGTGCTCGGAGATACGCTTGATGGCCTCGGCAACCTTGCCATTAGGACCCTCGATGGTGCGCTCTTCCTTCACGTACAGATCCTCGGTGTTCTCGCGGACGATGACCAGGTCAATGGGCTTGCCATTACTGTTGCCGGCGGTGGTCTTGACAGGGCGGACGTTGGCGTACAGGTCGAGCTTCTTGCGGAGAGCGACAATGGGCGATGAGTAACCGGCGACCTTAGTGCTGGGGGAGCTTTGGGTTGGGAGCAATCGTCAGCCGGGATTGCACATGATGAAACAAGGACATTGTAGCTTACCTGACAGCGCCAAAGAGAGCACCGTCACACTCCTTCTTCAGGGTATCGACAGTCTTGTCGGGCAGAGCAGTTCCAGTCTTCTGGAAGGTCTCGTAGCCGGCATCGAGGTCGACGAAGCTGAACTTGAGGTTCAGGGACGAGGGAAGGGACTCAAGGATCCGACGGCCGGCCTACATTTCATCAAACGACATTCAGTCAGTGAATTGGCTCGTGTATTAAATCTCGAGAGAGCTACCCACCGGGATGACCTCCCGTCCGATACCATCTCCGGGGATAAGACCTATAAGATTCCGGTCATGTCAGTCAATTGCCGACCCACGAGATTGCAAAACAAGGGCAATTGTACCAATGCGAAGTGTCCGAGCAGCAGCCATTTTGATAGACTTTTTTGAAGAGTTGCTTTCCTGAAATCGACAATCGCCGTCATCGGAGCTTTCCATTTTGTATACGGCATCGGACTATTGTTGATCCGACATACTAATCCCGGGGTCCGGAGAAGCGGCGACCCTATACGAAGTACATACGTTGTTGTATTTCTATCTCATGTTCTATCAAATACAGATGAGGAAAGAATATCGAAAAGTAGTGCGTATCTGCTTAAATATTCGTTTTGAGAAGAAATTATACAGTAACCCCGAAAAACATTCTAGGCTGTGCATGGGTATGGATGCATGCTCGGATTACCCAAATGGGTCACTCTTCGCGAAGCTGAATATGGATAACACCTTCAAAGGTTCTTTCATGGCTTCGCCGAACTTTAAAATTTCGATTTTTATCGTGTCACTCATTCTTTGCAGCCATTCAAGTCTGCTGAGGAGCCATCCACGCTAAATGCTATGAGCGCTAAACCCAAATGGGTCACTTACCGCGATGTAGATCCACTGGCATCGAGTATACAAAGCCTTCGACAGAGATTGAACCCAATCCACAGAGTAAATATTTAAAGCAATCCAGATCGCAGTTCATTTCTCGTTATTATATTCCATTCCGTACTTCGCCATCACTAAAAACCCTTTTGTCACTATGGCATTCAATCTTTTTTCCCGTTCATCGGATTCGCCAATATCAACTGGGAAGCGGAATATTGCCATCGCAGAAGTTGTTATATATTCACTTATTCACATTGCGCAGTTTAGCACAAGATGCATGCAAGAGTGGCGATACTGGCACCATAACAGGGACAAGAGTATCGGACGCTGTGTGTTCTATTCCTGGTGGAGTATGGTTGGTCTTCTGGCACAGAGTAAGTAGAAGAAATCTCGGCAAGTTAAAAGATAAGTCATTGAAATCCGTCATAGTTCGCATCGCGGGTTCGGCTCTGGTGCTTTCAAGCTCACGCCCAGAGAAGCCAATACTCATTGCGGAATCCATTTTGCAAAGCGTGGGACTGTCGCCCCTCTTGTTTGAAGTCAGCTTGGTCTTATTGCGATGGTATGTTAAAGATTTCATGCCCTGGGATCTTGCTTTTTTTTTTCCCTCAAAACAAAAACAAAGCTAACGATATTTCTCTCAATAGTGGACAATCCAGAGAAACGGGCCCTGGAAATTCGAAATGGACCAAGCCGAGCCGGTTTGCTTTGCATTTTTTCCGTTTCCCCATTTTTATTGCTATCACGCTAGCAGTGGTAGGCGGATGTATTAACATGCGCGCATTGGGGGAAGCTGGTTCCATTGTTCTTGTTGTCACATTCGCTTATGTGTGCGGCCTTGTTGGTTGGCTTGCGGTAAAATCGCGGTCAATTCTTCCAAAGTCGGGTCATTGTGCCGTACTTTTGACAGTGTTGACTCTTCCATTTTTGTTGGTTCGGATCATTTATTTTCTGTTATTGGAGTATGGACCTCCCAAGTTCAACCCAGCCACTGGTGATATCGGCATCTTAGTTGGAATGGGGCTTCTGATGGAGATCATCATTGTCATCTTGCTTTTGACAGCACGCGCTGTGGCTGAACCGGTTTGGCCATCAATCATTTCTAAGCGCATCGTATACGATGACTTGGAGTCGACGCGGAATTGAGATAGTTCACTTTGGACATTTCCGAGACCGGTGAGGAAATGGCGCAGCGAGGTCCTTCTTGGAGAATGGCTTGGAGAGTGAACTTTTGGCTCGTAAATAATTGAATGCACTTTTCTTTGGATCACAATACAGTGTGGTAGTTCTCTGGTTGAGCAGCTGCATAGATATTGGAAAATTGTTCAAGGCGGTTCAAGATCCAAGATCTTGTCACCGGATCTGCAATTTCGAAGGCCACCCGGAGAGGAAACCCCATTCGGTATGGACCCATTACCCCCACACTGTTGTATTCGACTGACTTGCAAATTTGATCTCTGAAATAGACAACCATGGCCTCATGCTCACCGGGGTAGCCACAAGTCTTCAAAATTTCATGAATGATTACCATGTAGGAATAGTAACCGCAGTAGATCGTTGCATAGCTCACATCTGTGTATGTGAGGGTAATAGGGTATAATTCATCCCCGGTTGAGGAGATAGTTTCGGTTGGCGGTGGTACAATTTGAGAAAATTGCTCATACCATATAACCAGATTGATCTGCATCTCAAGAGCTTTAGACCGGACCTCTAAGATTGTTTGTAGAGCTTCAGCACCGGTGGTGTCGACATTTCTCAAACCATAGAGCTTATGTACAAGACTTGGAGCATATGTGAAGTATGCAAAGAATAGTTCGATGCTGTTGTGTACTTCTGGGGGTAAGTCTGATGTGTATTGCTGTCGCATCTTATCATGCCACTCATTGGAGGCTAAAAAGCACTCTTCCCCGGAGAACATTGAGTGCATCACCTATTCAGATATGAGCGTCTGTTCCAAGTTGCAACTGATTTTATAATGCGTCTCAAAGATTGATGGCAAGAGTCGATGAATCAAACTTACAATCAGTCCTCGGGCAGCTTTGAGTAACGTTATATCAAGCTCAGTGTTGTACCTTTCTGGCCCTCGAATCCGTACCAACTGGCTGAGCCCTTTGGCGTGCTTCATCCATGACTCTGGGTTCTCGGTGTCTGTGAAAAGCTGCATATGATCAGTCACTGACATATGAATCACTTGGGTGTGAAAAATGTCTTTACCTCATACATGCATAGCAGTACTACCGCACAAAATATATGAGACGATAGACTTTCAGCGGGGGTTTGTAGCGATTTCCGGAGCCCACGTAGAGCTTCCCCATAAGCTGATCGGGCGTACGACACCATTTGGGTATTTTTGGTAGTGCGTCCAAAATGATGTGCTGTGAAAGACCTTATGGTGGCATCCAATACTCGATTTTGGCCATAAATGGAGGGAAGAAATCCAAACCATCGGACCACAACATGTGTTGGGCTGGGGGTATATGGTTGAGAGAAATCGTCAATGAGAACACAAAGGTATTGCACAATATTCATATCCACGGAAATAACAGAGGATGGCTTCTCTCTTTGGGCCATAGTCTGGCAGGTTGACGTAAGATCAACCATAGAATTCGAGGCTGCACTCTTCGAACGTGCTCCGTCCTTTTTATCATTCTTTGAATTGGGTTGACGCCGATCTCGATATGGCTTTCCTGTAATAAACTTGAAACCCCGGTCATATCCAGGGCAAGGTTGCCCATACTTGTCGCATTTGGCACACCCAGGAAGTCTTTGGTCACACTGTGGTGTTATCAATATGGTGTGGAACTTTTTAACCGGACTTCATGTGAATAATCTACCCACCTTGACTCGGCGTTTAACGCACAGTGAGCAGCCATTGCTCCGAGGTACACCGACCATCATGAATCATCAGTTCATAATAATCCCAAGAAGCTAAGGAAGTGGGAGAAGCCTCGTATAGGAGGGTCTGGTACCGTCACGTGTTTCCATCGGACATGTCCCGTGATCCTCTCATTGGCTGAAAGGGACAGTATACAGGTGCTTGCATGGACTGGTATAAAGTTCAAGGGTAATTGGCCTTTTTCCTTGAACTAAATTCAATATGATATACATATTATGTACTATCGGTCTACCTTTATGCATACAAAATAGGTTTTTTCAACATTAATTGGGAGACTTTTATTTCTTGGTTATCACCTTCATATATGTCCTCTAGAGCCACGGGGTAAAACCCGCGTTGCGACACATGTCCTTGCTATCAGATATTTAGATAGTTACCTAGCACATATAGGTACTAATTCATCCAATTTTCCCCAGTAGGGCCCAAATTGGGGGAAATTCCAGTTCGGATGGATCTGTGTTGATATTCTGCCTCAGGCACACCATGCCCCTTAACTCGAGATCCACTTGTAATGTGTCCAGATACTATGTTTCAGACCTCATAAGGGGTTTCAGTACTCCATACGGTAAAATTAATCTAACCCCTCAAGGATGAAGTCACCTGTCACATAGAAATGAAAACCCCTGAAACAGGGGAGTTCTGTATGGAGTACGGAGTACAACGTAAGGCGTTGGCCTATTGGATACGCTAGCCTTAACTAGCGCGTATGTATGTAATAGTTTCTGGATCGGCCCTTCTTCACACCTTGTGTCCTCTTGTCTCGTACCAATTCTCTATCCGACTACTTTGACGCGTTGAAACTGAACCCTTCTGGGAACATGCAGTGGGATCTGCCTGTATCCGATTAGACGTCACAACAATCCCGTTTCGACCTGATTTCAGGAGCACCCCTGTGCTCTGCATACGCATTTCCAGCTTCCCCTCGATTGCATACACGCCCTTCTTCGATCGTCGTACCCTCAGCCATAATGTCCGATAACAACCCCCATCACCCTGGGGTGCGCAGCTTGTTAGCCAAGTTTGAAGGCCAAAGCCCCATCGCCTCTCCCCCGCCTCGCGGCCGATCCCCAACGGCGTCAGACTCGTCAGGAACAGTTCGGCAGCTGTCCAAGGTTCGGGCTAGCTTTATCACCGTGGACGGGGTCATTCAGTCGAATCCTTCTTCGCCATTGAGGAAAACAAGTGGCCGCAGCGACAGTCCTGGAATGTTTGGACCGAAGATCAATTCCGGGGATGCGGAGTCCGGACGGCAGAGTACGATCTCCCCCACCCCGCTCAGTCGCCTCGACCACACACAGAATGCGACTCTGGGACAGATAATGGCTGCGGGTCGACCGGAGGAAGCCAAGAGTGAACGAAATCAGATTAGCAAGGAGGAAGCCGCAACGCGCACTGAGACTCAATCTCGGTCGCGAAACACCCCACCAAAACAGACAGAGGAGTCCACCTCCACAGATTCCAAGTCGACAAGCTCCGACACTCCCTCGCAGAAATCAGATTCGTCAGTGGTGATCAAGAAGAAGCCTTCTTCCGTTGGATCTGCCCGCAGTGCAGCGAGCAAGTCCACACCAACTACTGCAGCTTCAACTGGAACGAAATCTGCTGCTCACAATACAAGCTCCAAGCCCACGGCTCGCGAAGTGGCCAAAGAGCGTGCCAACTCTCTGGTCCACAAACCGAGTCGTGTCTCACTGAATCCCAAGACAACAGCACGGCCAACCCGCAGCTCAGCAACGGCACAAGATACTTCAAAGCCACATGCTGTGGGTGTATCTAGCAAGCCAGGAATGAAGTCTCCGCCGAGACCTACCCGTGTACATGGCTCCGGAACTACGTCAACCCACGCATCTGCTGCTAAGCAAGGAAGCACAGGGGCTTCGAGCACTCGTACTACTACCAGTGCATCAACCCTCACAAGAAAACCTTCATCCCTCAAAAGCGCAACTGGAGCTCAGTCGCGTGCCACTACTCCCAGTGCCAGCATTCGCCGACAATCTTCTCGTCCTTCGTTGCCCGCCCACGCAGCTAATGACACAAGCGCTAAGCCGGTCAACGAGGGCTTCCTTGCGAGAATGATGCGGCCTACTGCTAGCTCTGCGAGTAAGTCCCATCCCCAGGAGAAGATTGATGCAAAGTCTGTCACCAAGGCTGCCACTGTTTCCAAGGCCCCCAGGCCGTCAATTGGGAGGGTGCCAGACCGTAGCGTCCACCAGGCGAAGCCTAAGAGCACTGCTCTTCGACCTCAGAGTCAGAAATCCCAGCCTCTGAACAAGCAGCCTGCGCCACAGAAAGATGGACATAAGTCTTCCCAAAAGAAACAGGAAGGTGAGAAAGAGAACATTGTGGAGCCTACATCAGTGGAACCCACTCCAGTTGCGGCTGTGGAATTGCCCGAAGCTGCTTCCAAGCCGGCCGAGGAGACGGCTTCGCCTGCTCAGGTTGAGGAGTCTACTCCCGAAGCTACCATCGCATCTACTGAGCCAATCGAGAAGGCAACTGAAGTGCCTGAGCCGATCATCGAGGAGACGGTGACCGAGAGCTCCTCCAACCCCGTCCCAGTCGAAGATGCTACTGAGGTGTCAGCTGAGCCTACCGATTCCAACGAAGCCCAGGCTAAGGTGGATGCTCCTGTCGACTCCCTTATTGAGCCCATCGCTGAGGATGCCGAGGAAGAGAAGGCTGCTGAGACCACTGTAACCGAGGAGACTGCCACAGAGCCCGTGGCAATCACAACGGCTGATGATGAAGTGAAGGTCGATGAGAAGCAAGAGATCTCGATTCCCGAACCAGAGGTGCTCGAGACTCCTCAATCAACAGAGGCCCAGGACATGGCTCCTGAAAATGAAGATGCTACGCCAGTGAAGGAGGTCATTGTCTCCGAAACTTTGGCAGAGGAGAACAGCACAAAGGCTAAGTCCATTGAGGAGCCTACCCCTGATGCGCAGCCTGCAACTGAGGCCGAGTCGAGCAACGTCGCCATCGATATTGCCAGCCTGGCATTGAACTAGGCACTCTACATCAGAACTACACCACGTTTATCTGAAATTGATTTCGCTGGCCCATCTCTTCTGGTAAAATTTGGAACATCATTTTAATCTTCTCTGATCATACTCTTCATTATTGTCTTCTATCTCACCAAGCGTGAGCTTCTTTCCATTTATCAAGGCTTACCCTCAACCTGTTCACCATCCATTCTCCCGTGTCTCTTTCTTACTCTATGCTAGCATTTTTACATCTATCAGTGTTTTGGGTTGTCTTATTATTCTTTGTTTATGTCTTGCATACTTTGTACCAATTTCGAGAGCATCTTATTCTTAGCGCTTAGGGGCATTATCCAATTTAGCATCTTGGTTTATCAATATAGCGGGGCTCAAAGCTTTTATACTATCAGTCCTCTGTTCGTATCTACTAAGCACTTCATTTCTCATAAAACTGAGAAGCTAAGCTATATTCTTGTCCTAATTCCAATCCTCATCGTATTGCTCAGCATCCGAACTAGTAATAGCAAGCAATCAAGGTGATCATGACCAGCAGAGATCTCTGATGAGCAAGAAAGAAAGACGCAGAATCTCAAATATTCCCACCCCAAAAAAACGCTCAAAGTTTCCTCTCAAGCTTCTTCAGGAACCTATTCATACCACCTTCCAACCGCTCTGCTCTATCCTCCAATTTCCTTGGCCGCTGTCCAGGATTCTTCATGGCCTTCTGTGCATATTTCTGGTAGTGAGAGCTAGCCTCCACTTCAGTGGGTCTATACAGCTGGCTGTGGATATCGTATTCAGAACCAGCGCGCTGGTGTTGCTGTTGCTGTTGCTGTTGTTTTTGCTGCTGCTGCTGCACCTGAGTCTGGTCATACGAGTAGTTTGAGAACCCGCCTACCGGCGCCGTCGTCCCAGCCTGATACTGAGGTGGCGACTGGGCTTGGGCAGCCCCATAGACCTGCTGGTCATATAGATGGGCATTCGGATCCTGTGGTGGCGGAGCGAAGGACATTGAACCTTGTCGACTTGCGCTGTACTGTTGACCTCCCTGCCCGGCAAGGAACGACTGCGAGTACGAAGGGACAGGTGTTCCGGAGCTGTGGACTGAGGATCGGGTAGTGGAGAAAGAGTTTGAATGCTGTAGTCCTGCACTGGGAGGAGGGGAGGCGAATGCTGGCGGTGCTGCGACTGGAGGACCTGCGTATTGCAACCCCGGGGTTGAAAGGGGCGGGGATGCATATCCACCCACGCCTCCTGCGCCCCCCCATCATTTGGTGTGGGGGCGTATATGGCACACCGTTGTCAGCTGCCACTGCGGCTGCGAGACCGGTGCCACTCACTCCGTCCTCCGGCGGGGGGTCTTTTCGCGGTATTGGATTGGCTCCGGGGCAGCCGGGGCGGCTGGATTGTATGGGAGAGGGGCAAAGCTAGCTGGGTCTTTCTTTTCCTCGGCGGGGGTAGAACCAGCACTTAATCTTTGGTCAACTGGAGGTCCGCTTGGAGGGGGGGGGGGAAGCTGCTGGTTGGTGGGGGCGCCTGTGGCACTGGTGCCGCTGTGCTTGTGGGCTCAGATCGTGAGTTGCGTGTTTGACCATTCTGGTAAGCAGGGTCGGAGACTGCAACTGTCTCCAGTTGCTGTACTACGGAGCTCATTGTTTCCTGTTGTTGCGGAGCTGGCTCTCGGTCTGTCTCGACCTGGGCACTGGATAGAAGCCGGACGGTAGTGTCCAGAAAGTCGGTTGCATCTTCTTGCGTCCAGAAGTAGATATCCAATGTATGCAAGCGAGGGAAATTGCGGACTTCGTTGGGGTCATCGCGTGGGTCGCCGCTAGGCAGACGCCACTCATGTTGAGGGGTATCATGGGCATATTGATGTTGGGGCGAGGCCGTGTGTGCATCAACCGTTAATGTACATAGTGTCGGAAATTGAGCAGAGTGCCGTATATGAACATTGCTCAAGCCTCCACAGAATGCATCCTGCTCTGGAGATCCAGGATTATTGGCAATTTCAATGCGGGCCTTATTCTGAAAGGCGTCATGGTAAATATAAACATAGGAGCCTTTATCAAAACGGTGATGATATGGTGAAGGTCTTCGGGTTGGCTCTGTAAAGTAGTAGTGGATATCTGCAAAACTATTCCAGCTGTTAGACACAATCCAAGGACTGCTTCATATCTATCTGCGGGGAAGTCAGTTCAACTCACACAGTCACAAGGCGCTCTTCGCCCGCTGATGGTGGCATGTCTAACAATTCAAAGTACGGAATGCAAGTATACAACGGTGGCAGCGAGTAGAGGGGAAAAGAAAAAGAGGAACTTACGTTTATTATTTAAATATTATTTAAACCTTGGCCTGAGGGGTATTCAACCTGTGAAACGCCAGCATCAACCGCCATGCAAGTTGGGCGCTTAGAAGATGTAGATGTGATGTGATAGGACAGTACTAGGTACCTGGTCATCACACATCTCCGCTATGGGCGAGAAAGTACCGGGTACCTGGACCAGACCGCGATCCGGAAATATAGTTTATCCGAAAATTTCCAATCCCCAAATCATCGCATCTTCAGTCGGCTGCAACACCTCCTGCCGTGTCTTTACTTCCCCAGACAATTGCTGTCCATTGTGGTCCTTCTCGGTCTTCGCTCCAGTCTAGCCGGGATCCCTATCTTTCTTCCTCTTCCGAAATTGATCAATCCCACCACTCTCTTTCCTCTCCGAACCGCCGCCGGTAGAGCTTAATTGCTGCCGCCGCGAAATCAAGATGTCTCTCGTCAACCTTTCCGCCGTCTGCGCCCACTTGAACAATGCTACCAAGGCCCGTCTCGCCCTCACCTCTATCCCTAACAGCAACCTCCACCTGAAGCTCTCCCTTGCTCTCCAAAACTCTGGCTACATCTCCTCCGTGGCCCGCGGAGGTCCGACTCCTCCTCCAGCCCATGGCATCCTCGGTTACCCTGCAGTCAACGATGAAGCCGAAGGCATTGAGCCAATAACGCGCGATAACGTCGCATCAAGGCGGCTGTGGCTGGGTCTGAAGTACTGGCAAAACGAGTCAGTCCTCGGCAAGATCAAGATGGTCAGCAAGCCCACCCGACGGGTCAACATTGATGTGGAAGGTCTACGCCGAGTTGTGCGTGGTGAGGAATCCGGGTTTGTGGCCGGAATTCGGTCGCCGGGTGAGAGTCTGTACCTCTCTACAGACCAAGGGATTCTAGAAGCTCGCGAGTGTGTTGAGAAAAAGCTTGGTGGGCTGGTTTTGTGCCGTGTGCTATAAGTCTGCAATTGTCCTCGCGGCTTGTCTCTGATTTAGGGGAGCTACCCACCGGGGAGATTGTTTTCTCTTCTTGCATTTACTTTGGAGTTTGTTGGTTAGTCGCAGCGCTTTCTCTTTTCGAGATTAGTCTTTTTGTGACTGTTGGGATAATACCTGGGTCAAGGATCTGTATATTAGATGTCTGCGTATCTCGCATTCTGTGCTCTGCTGGTGATTTTGCAGCTGTCCTCAATGTGACACAGTGTATAGATTATGACTTGAAATATTTCCGTACTCCCGTCCTACGATCTAGTAGTATCACTTCCTGGGCTGATTTTATAGCCATAATCATGTTTTATTTCCATGCCACAAGTGCTGGGTGTATAGTATAGGTAAATAGAACGCCGACTGGCCATGGCCCAGTCATGGGAATAGTGAGTCGATTATCCTTTTTATGTCCTTGACTGCACAATTCAAATTCAACAATCCAATTTTGTAGGTAAAAGCATGGAACATCTTAATATCCGGTTCTGGCTCGGAGAGACTCAAGAATCATAAATTATATAATTATTTTATCGAATCTCATCGAGCTGCATGGAGTTACCTGATTAGGAAGAAGGTATCTATTTTATATCACCTCTTGTCTTGTGTTCTCGATTAAGGGCCTTTGTTTTCAGATACCATTATTGGGGTTCTGTTGATCGAAGAAGTTTAGGTACTCTAATCTCTATTTAATAGCGAGGAAATTTCCAGTCTCTCTGAGCTGAAGTGCTTCGTGTTTCAAGTCTCTCCGAACTACAAACTAAAAACGTATGTAGCCGCACCCAATCTTCCTGTTTGATCCCTACTTCTTCTAGGTCATATTTACGTTCTTCAATATCAATGGTCCTTCATCGCCTTATTTGCTCCTCGTCCTATCCTCTCCTGAAGATTCTGTTTCCCCCTGAGCCATCCAGTGATCGTGGGCATATAACCACAGACCATGGCTAAACCTCAAAGCGCTAAACACACACGATCTAATTCTATTGTTTATGTCGATACAGCAGCACCACCACCAGAAGAAATTTCTCATCGTGTTCAGGAGCTCAATCCACGGAGTATCGCCAACATCCTCGCATGCGCAGCGCGCATTCATCCGGACGTCATGTACATGGTGGACAGGGCCATTCACGCCACCCAGGAAGGAAAGAGAACAAAACTATATCTTCAACTTCGACCAAGATTCGAGTGACGTCTGGAAATCGATTAACATCACACATCGCTACAAGCGCAGCCAAGCGCAGTACGACATATCGGTCCTGGTGGCCGATGAGGTCGTCGATATCATCGAATCAATCACGGATCATTATGGCCAGTTCGCAAACCCTCAGACACGTCTCAATGGGCTCTCCACACTGCGAAAAATTGGCAAGACGATTGCACTGTCTACCAACGATACATTGGGTCGGGAAGTGCAGGAGCGGTTCCAATCCGATGCCTGTCTTGTAAATGGGATGATGGAAATCATCAATTTTATGACAGCGGATGAGGTTCAACTGATCATAGAGCATAAGTCGAGTCCATAAGCATTGTGGTCAAAATTGCAGGAATTGGAAGAGCTGGCCCGGAATGAATGCATTCATCCTGGAATAGAAGAAGTGTTAAATCTATTAGATCCTGCTCGCGATGAGTATGAAGAAGAAATAGATGAAGACAAAGACAAGGATGACGACGAGGATGAAGATGAGGAGGAGGAAGATGAGGACGAGGATGATGTCTCAGGCTCAGCATGAGAGTCATCTTTGGCATTGAACTAGACCGTGGTTTAACATCAAGAATATAAGAACCAACTTCAAATCTAAATGAATTAAACAAAACAGTCTGATCACTTGAGATGTCCCGATGTGATGCGGTATTTATGTTGTCGGTAGTCGTAATGTCGCACAGTTTTGTCCACCCGGTCCAACCTTCCTCTCCATCAAACCCGCCCTCATATTGTTTACACTCAATCAACTTCCACAATGGCCGATGCAGCAAAGAAAGTCCTCATATCTGGTGGCACTGGCTTTGTAGGCTCAGCCATAGTGCGGGCTCTTGCAGAAAAACATCCAAACTTTGTCCTCGCCGTCATCGACCAGAGTCCCCCACAATCTGAGCACATCCTACCACAGAGAACTACGTACATGCAGATGGATATCACTTCAACTGAAGCATTGAGCAGAGCATTTGAGACTGTGAAACCAGATATCGTTGTCCACACTGCCGGAATCGTCCCAGATTTGGCCGAACGGTTCAGCCGCCGACTGGAGCAAGAGGTATGGAAGATCAACTTTGAAGGCACACAGAATATGCTGGATATATCCAAGAAGAGCGGGGTTGAAGTCTTCATATACACGAGCAGTTGCTGCGTGGTGATCGACGATACGCGTGTCGCTCATCCTAACATCAATGAAGAATGGCCCTTGGCATTCAAGTCAACCATTTATGGAGAGTCCAAGGTTGGAACCAATCCCCATCAACAGAATTCTCGGAATTGACAGAAAATACGCCACTGACACACTTTGCTAGGCTGCTGCAGAATCACTCGTTCTAAAGGCCTCCAGCAGCAAAATGGTGACATGTGCCCTTCGACCATCGGTGCTCTGCGGAGCAGGAGACTACCAGCTAGTACCATCTATTCACGCATCTATCTCCAAATATGAAACCCCTTTTTTATCGGAAATGGCTTCAATTTGCGGGATATCACCCACGTTGACAATGCTGCCGATGCTCACGTCCTGGCCATAGAGAATCTGCTATCGTCCCGCACCGCTGCAGGCGAGGCCTTTTTCATTCAGAATAACGAACCTATCGTCTTCCGTGATTTTTGTTTGGCAATCTGGGCACATTTTGGGCACGTCCCCCCTTTTGAAATATATCCCAAAGAGTCTGGCTTACTTCGCCGGGCTGGCGTGTGAGACGGTCACCTGGTTGATGGGAACAATGACAACTCTCAGCCGTGGGAGTATACAAGATGCATGTGCCACTCGGTATGCTGGTGGAATCAAAGCTAAGGAGATTCTGGGGTACGAGGCGCGTATTGGTATCGAAGAAGCCATCCGTTTGAGTTGCGAGGTAAGCAGATATCACAAGCGCAACCTTCTTTTTTTCTATTGCCGAACTCACCGAAATAATCCAGGATTATGCTTCTCGTCTCGGGGTAAAATTACCCATCCTCAATGGTGGAAGCCGGCAAAAACAGTAACATGTCACGTTGATGGAAATCACATAGACTTCCCGGTTCCCTGGAAATACTCTGATGGTTAAGATTTTCCGGTTCTTGGGGAGCGCCTCTTAGCTTGGATGATTTCATAATACCTCCTATGACCACTCAGAGTGTTATTGATAACAATATTCCTAGGCAACCTCGACCTCGGAAGCATAGACATTGGGCTTCTTGTTGGGCTGCAAGGGTAGATTGTACGCCATCAGAATAGCTGAGCTCTCCACATTTTAAAAAACTTTGATATCATATTTCCTCTTTGTTTCACCCGGATCTCCAGAAGAGTCTCCAGAAGAGAGACATGGCCCATGCGGCTTATTGCATTGGGCCCCAAACAGCCCGAGTGCCCAACACAAATTAACTACGGAACCGTATGTTGCACCTACCTCAACTCATCATTACATTTCTTCCAGGACCTTCGAGGGTGCAGATCACATCTTCTCTCTGCACATTTGGGTATCCATAGGTCAACAATGTCCAAGTCCAGAACCCCGGTCCTTGCGTTTTCTACCCAACACCACAAGCTTTGCTGCCCGAGGCTTTGCCCCAATACAATTATCGAACCAGAATGAAGGAGGTCGCACGGCACCTAGCATTTTGGTGCTTCCCCCCTAATTGATGAAGATCGGAGCTTTGGATGTAATGTTTGCTGTGCGGATTCATGCCATGCACCCACAGAGGCGTCTCACGGCGCCTCGGCTGCCAACGAGCTTTACACACCGGTCTTATTCTTGATCGATCGAGATCTTCAAAGTAAACGACACGGGCGGTCCATTTCCTGTTACGCAATTGGTTTTCTTGAACCCGACAATGTCCAGGCAACACAGGCCCTTCTCCATATATTTTGTCTCCACCAACGCCACTGGCGTAAAGTCCTCTAGCGCGGCTCTGAATCCAGTTACACTACCGTTGCATAAACATGGGTTGGTTCTGATCCCCTTTGTCAGGCACACTTACGAATATGTTCGGCCCGGGGAGATTGGCTTTCCCAAAATGACTATAATACCTGCCCTTTTCTCGATGTTCGTGAATTCATTCGCTCAACAACGCACCCAATATATATAAATATTCTTTCTGGCAGTGCTCTTCTGGATCTTGTTCTCAATTGTTAAATTAGGCTGTTGTAATACTCCGGCTTTACTTTCTTCATGCTTCCTGTCCTTCCTCATCCATTGGCGGGTGGATCGGTCTATCCGTTCTCTTTGCCAGCAGGTCTCGGTTCTTGTGCAAGCTCTATCAACTCTAAATTTGATCCTCGGTCTCGCCATAGGTTAGCAAAATCAGCATCGCCATTCCCTCCTTTATTTCCGTGCCACAATCCTTGGAATTCGAAACTCATACTCCGTAACAGCACCATGGCTCAACACTCTATGTATGGAACCCCAGCAACCCCTCCGGTGGTCTATCAGCAAAGGTATTTTTTGGTCATCGTTCACTTCATTGCAAACTCCTTCCAAGTTATCATCGACAAATATCGCTCTCGTTCCTTTTGCTAAGCGGTAAAAGGTCACCATCTACTCCCCACGGATATGGCTACAGAGACGACCGCCAATTGCCTTTCGTTCCGATGGATTCTAACCATCAAGCCCATTACCACGGAGGTCCAGTCCATCTGGATAACCACGGCCATATGATTAACCCACCCACGGGACGTTTATCCTACCCTCCAGCCGGACAGGCCCACCCACAATCCAGGACTCATGAATGGAGCCACCCGAACCACATGCCTCGCGAATCCCTAAGGCGGGACCTTGGAACCATGAACCCCCGGAAAGCCCGGAGTATGTCATGGAAAGAAATAACCAGCGAGCTGCCGAGAGAACCAGAGGAAGCCCGCACTACCATTCCCAGAGACGGACATCGAACCGGGATGAATTTGATGGCCCGCATCAGTTCCTGGAGCCACCTTCTCCACAGGCTGTTGCAGCCCAGGATAAAGAGCTTCCCCAGCTCCCTACTAACCTCGATGCCGGCGAGCAAGACAGAATCCTCCACAAGGTCAACGACCGTCTGTCCCAGTGTGCCTATGACTTCATCGCAAAGCACCAGTTCCGTGTTCCCATCGAACAGGACAAAAGACCCGTCAAGGTCCCCTCAGATCGCGAGTGGACCGAATGGGTATACCTTTTGAAACGACTGGCTACTACACGCCGCATCCCGGCTCACCTCTTGTACAACCGCCAAATTAAGCAGCTCATCACCGTCCTGGAGAACTCCCTGGAGATGCGTCATGCTGCCAAGCACCAGTCTAGGCCGGTCAAGGATGACCGCAACGTGCTGCAGCTCATTTCTGCGGGTACACAGGTCGCGAAGATCCTTAGGGATGCTAGTGCCATGCAGTTTCTCGATTGTCTTTATGTTGACGCTGAGAAATTGATTCAGGAACGACGTGGCCGTCGTGTAAGATTCGCAAACCCTTGAATCCACTGGAGGAGTAATGGCCATCTCTTTTAATTTTCCACTTGGATGCCACTGTTATGTTTCTGTTGTCTTCCCGTGGGAGCCCTTTTGGATTGTCCTGTTTTCCTCTGGTTTTCTCTTCCTTTTCTTTTTACAAGTCCGTTTGGAATACCCTACTGTCAAGTTTGAACTCCTTGGAGGAAAGGTACCATGGGGCCTTTGTGATTTTCAATCAGAACAAAAGCCCAGGCAGCTACCCAGCCCACATGAAGGAGGGATTGAAACTAAATCCTTCGGGCTGGGAGGAAGAAATCGTCCAGCTCTCGCCGCAGGTGACTGTGTACATCTCCCCCAGATATGTGTCAGCCAGCGGTACAAAAGGAAACAGTACTAGGGTGGTAGTTTTGTTGATTTTCTCGGTTTGAATTTTTTTTTTTTTTTTTTTGGCGTTCGGGTTGGTTGTCTTGATATGTTTATGTTTACCATGCTTCATACGTTTTCCCCTGTGCTACACGACCATGTCATGATTTCGGCTTTTTTTTTTGTTGTATTCAGTACGAGATTATGTCTGTGATGTTATGTCTCTAATTTGACTCGCTTGAGTGGTCCACTTCTGTCTTTTTCTTCTGCTAATATTCCATACATTCCAGGTTTTGGGCTGCCTTGTTCATGAGATGTCCCCGAGTATAGTCACATGGCTCCGCTGGGCTCTATTGCAGGTCAGTCACATCAATTGACTTGAACTGTTTAAAGAAAGGGCCAAAAAAAAAAACAATGCGGCTAAATATACAAAAAGATCAAAAAATAGTTTCCCTGGGAATCGAACCCAGAACCTTTCCGGAACATATGCTAATCGCATTTGTTAACGGAAAATCATAACCGCTAGACCAGGAAACTGCTCGACCACTTGGGCCAATTGATGGAAGAGACAGCCAGCTTTGGCTTTATCAACTAGAATCAATAATATAACACAACTACACAGCCCATGTTGACATTATATTGACATTCCACCCAAGAATAATAACTAGATGGGCACTGTGTGGTTTAATATGCTGTTACTAAGTGAGAAGTGGATCCATCCATGTGAAGAGTTTGAGGTATATTTTCTAATATTCTAACGTTGGTTCTTCAATCCCATCTATATATTTAGGGCATCAACATCGACATGAACACAAGCTCTATTACATTTGAAGCAACAACCACTTGGATTGTTTCTTTATCAAATCTGTCACCCAGCGACAACAGAACACATCTAATCCTTCCCGTCAGAGTTGACAATAACCCGCTGTGCCTCCAAGCTACTGTTGTCTGTCTGTTCCTCTTCCTCCACCTCGACCGCCTGAACAACATTCCAATTGCCAAACACCGCGAGAAGTGTAAATGGAATCGTAACACCCCACAGTGCAAATCCCAGTGCCATTTGGTTCAAGTTGGGCCAGTGAGTTGCGCCGACCGCGTAAGCAATCGTGCTGCCAATGGACTCCCACGATCTCAGGATGCCGGTTGTTCTGGCGATATCGCCATCTCCCTGCGCTCCCTTGATCTCGGCCATCAACCAATAGATGTATGTCTGCAGCGCCTCATAGAAGAACCGGAAGAAGATGTAGACGGTGAAAGCCGAGTTGAAGAAGGGACCATCGCCCAAATCGAAAGCGGGTGGTTCGGCCATGTGGGAGAGTCTCGTCTCGACGATGGCGTTCCATATCCAAGAAGCTGTGACAAAGAAGAGGACGAAGATATACATAATTTTAGATCTGGTTCCTCGCGACAAAAATTTCAGATCTAGGAATAGGCCTGTCGATATATTGGCGGCAGCGCCGACCACAGCCGTCAAGAAAGAAGCAAGGGCTCTAGAGCGGACAGTGAAATAAGCTAATATTGCTGTTAGTGGTGCTATTTATTATTGATAAAGGAGGAGTGGAGATGTCATACTTGTCAAATAATTTCCCTGATAAGTTGCACCAAATTGTCCCGCAAGGAAGACCGGAATGAGTAGCAGCATGTACTTATTGCGAAGTTGCTTCCAGATAGCACGAGCCTCGATAGAGAGACTAGTTTTCTTCATGTAAGGGATTTTGGTGCCATTGCTTCTGATGACATCTTGCGGCTGTGACAACAGCAATGCGAACGGAGCCCCGAGGGATGAAATGGCAACAAGACCTAAGTATGTTGTGTAGGTGACCTTACCAACATGTGCAGTGTTGATATTGAGAGCGAGGGAGATCGCACCACCAACAAGCGGTCCCATCTGGCGGATACTCATCCAGATTGCAACATAGCTAAACATAAAACGGTCAGTCAAATAACAACAAGTGGATGGTCTGGAGGCTCAACTTACCGTCCTCTTTTCTCCTCCTCCGGATATCCAACTGCAATGGCAGCCTCACTAGCCCATAGAAGAGACGCTCCAATTCCACAAAGAGCGGCTCCGAGCAAGAGGAACCATTCGTTTCCATAACGATTGTTGCAGTATAGACCAGCTGCATAGGGAGTGTAGAATGCAGCACCGATAAACAAGGTCCATTTTGCAGTGATCTTGTTGGTAACACCACCGGCAAGGAAACAACCTACTGACATGAGTCCATATGTCAAGGCATTGGCGGCATTGTTCAGATAAGGCTGCACAATATGTTAGCGGTAGTTACACAGATTCCCAAGATCCAGAAGACTTACCTTGGCATTTCCTCCAGCTCCAAGGTTATTGAGAGCAGTCCAGATACCGGGTTCGCAGAAGGCGACTAATCCGACAAGGATAATCTGGAGAAGACATGACCGGTAGAACCGGGCCAGACGTTCGAAAGCCATGATAGATATGAGAGATTGCTATACGGATCATAACACTGGAGAAAGCCACTATTATAGTACTGCATGGCTATGGGCCCCAAGGTTGGGAATGTTAAACAAAATCACAATAGCACGTCAGGTCCCATTATAATCGCGATTTCTTGGTTTTATCTCTCTCGCCCGATAGAACCCCACGACTAGGACTAGTTTGTAGACTGGAGACGGTTGAAGAACCCTAGTTTATGGTTAAATCGATAAGGGGAGTCATTCTGGTGATAACAATGGTGCAAAGTGAGCCATTGGCCTCCAAAAGCACGTAATATGAGGGAACGTGCTTCAAGGGCTGGGCCACAAAAGTCTTATTTTCCGAGGTATTTTCGGTTGGAATAAAATTTATCTTGGAGAAATGAGGTGCTACAAATTCCGTCATTGGACTAAATTAGTGATGTTCTATAGAAGATGGGTTAAGTATGGATGTCTACGCCACTACGGAGTATAGCCGACTCTTATTAGTAGCCCGTTAGAAAATTAGGAAATTAGAAAATCAGAGACACGTTTTTTTTTTGGTGGTATCTAATCAAATTGTCATTGTAACAATTCTGAATCAACTCAGAAGTATCGCTAATTTACAATAATGTACACCTAGGTTAATCTAGGAACTTCCTCAGAATCAAAAGCTAGCCATCTCAATCCAACTGGCCACAAATGCCAGTCGGCGTCCCCGATCAGCAGCCATACGGCGCGAGAACTCCTCAAAGTTGAGTCTCGCACCATTGCCACGTTCCTTATTTTCACGTTCTACCTGGTCTAAATAGACCCATCGAGCTAGAGTCCGGGCTGAAGGTCGGCGTGGGGCAGGAGCTTCACGAGGCTGGTCATTGACACGGTGAGGGGGTGGTAGTGGTTGCATAGGAGAGGGAGGAAGCTTGGGCGCTGTGGCTTCGGCTTCTGGGGAGGAGTGGGGAGAAGATGGGGCGGGAAGAGAGGTGGTCCCAGGTTGGAGTCGGAACTGAGGAGGGAGATCAGGGTTCGTGCTTGTAGTTGGGGGTTCTTCTAGATCGGAGTCGGATTCATCGATCACTTCCCGGGCCACTATGAATGGCTCGTCAGGACGATGTTGTGGGAGGGTTGGATCGTAGTAAAGTGTATCATCTTCAACAATCCGACTGGATGGCTCCGCACCAGATGCTTGAGAGGCAGCGATATCATCGTCATAATCAGACGAAGTAGCGGACGCTGTGTCGGATTCTTCAAAGGGCCGCGCTTGCCCAATTCCAGTATTTTCTCCGGGATCAGCGAGATGAGCTGGTCGCACGTCTTCATCATCGTCTTCTTCATACTCATCATCATCGCCATCATCATCTGAGGCGGTGGGCCCCGGTGACGAAGGAGCTACTGCCCCGGCATTGGAAGGCGCCAGAACTGGGCTTTGAATTCCGTAACCAGCACGCTGCAATAGATCATCAAGTGGTCGGTCGTTGATAATTTCCTCGAGTTCCTCTTCAACTGGAACATTTTCAGTTGCGGCGCGTTTTGAGGGGTCCTCTTTTCCGGCGAGTTCAATCTCGCGGGCCCAGACCTTGCGCTCAGCTCGCGTGCGATAGACTTCCATTAGAAGGTCCTCTTTCGGCTTGAATAGAATATCTAGAAGCTCATTGAATCCCTGTTGTGTGACTTGATACAAGATTTCTTTCCCAACGTCCCTCTCGATCTCTGGGATTTCAAACCCACCCCATCGCTCCCCAACAGGAATACTCCGTGACGAGGTTGACGGGTTAGATCGAATGTCATACTCGTCGTCATTGAGATCATCCTGGAATCGCACTTTGGACGAGGATCGCGACCGGAAAGATGGTGGGCGCGATTCGGATTCATCTAGGTCTTCATCGCTGGAGTCATCGATGGCTGGATCCCTTTCGTAACCCTCAGGAACAGTGGCTCCATCTTCTTCATCCGTGTAGAAAGCCCGGCGCCTCCAACGCTCGTCGATTCCACGCTGACGGGCGTCAAACACACGTCTTTGGTCATCTTCGCGCATTCTATGATAAACGGCATCCGCGACGCGAGCCCGATCAATTGGATCCGTGATTTCTCGAGCGGGAATATAGGACCCAAGGGCTTCGATGATATCTTCTTCGAGAATGTGTTCAGCTGGGGGCCAGATGCCACTGGCCACCGACGAGCTAGATTGGTCTGACCCACTGGTCTCGCTAGCACCATCTTCGTCTTCTTCGTTG